ATCTGTTATTATCTCGCTCTGAAGCACAGAGGAGTGTCAGAGGTGTGCTCATTTCAACTGATTTTTATGACGCGGTCTCATTTCCGGACTCAGGCATTTTGTGAATGAAGCCGATATTTCGGTTAAAATACATAAGTAAAAATATTCATCCGAGTATAGTACTACCTCCCAACTTTATGGATGATTTTATGGATGTAATTTTACGTATTATACTTAAATAAATACGGTAAATATGATTTCATTAAAAATTACAAGTTAATGCAGCTTCATGACTGGTCAGGTTCTTGTCTCGCCGGTTGTCATAAAGCAAAATGATGAACTGAATTTATTTCACTATATAAAACTCTGCCTTGTTAGTCATTAACTTTATCAAATCATATGAACACATTTTGGAAAGATGCACAAAATATGATTAATCTTAAACTGCAGTCTGTATCAGTGTCTGGTGCATACTGTAGGTTTTCAAAACCCAAATGTTTTGGTTTAACAAAAACCAAATCAATCTACATACTGCATAGAGGTAGCATGTGGGGGGGGGGGGTCATTGATGGGCCTGATGGATAGCCCTTCATAAAAGCTAAACAAAAAAAATCTGAAGCTCCTATGTTGAATAGTTTTAGAGTTATAACCATTTTTGTACGTCCAGACACCCCATTTTCAAATGGAGCCCCCTCCTCAAATATGGGGTCTATCATCAAACCGTCGGCTGGTGCAGTGTAGGTCAGACACATCTATAATCCCGCCAACTTTCATTCTGATCGGTGCAGCCGTTTTCCATCTACAGTTAAACAAAAATCACTGAAATGTTTTTTTAAATAAGTAAATAAATAAATAAACATTACTAAAATATTATGACCCTCGCTTCGCCTGCGGGGGTCATAATAATCTGTAGAACAGATTCATTTCTTCTTAAGATACATGCTGTGGGCTTAGATTAGCTCTGGTTTCTCCAGTCAGCATGAGGAACGTTTTAAAGCAGGGATGGTCAGTCCTTCATGTTTTACTTGTTTCTCTGCTCCAACACACCTGATTTGAATGAATGGATGATTTTCAGGCTTCTGCAGAACGTGAAGAGGTAATTCACTGACGGGATCAGGTGTGTTAGAGAAGGCAGGGTTCCTACACTTTAAGGCAAGTTAAATTTAAGACTTTTTAATGCCAAGTGAAACCAAATTTAAGACCAAATTCACAATAAATACAAATGACAAAAAGAATTAAAACTGTGGCTGAAACTCATGAATCAAAGTATTTTTGGTTGAATTATTCAAATATTGCTAATAGGCCAATTGTTTTTATCCATATCTCAGTGCTGTTTTGTCAAATATAGAAAAAAATAACATTCATAGCAGACAGTTTTAAACTTAATTTAATTCCTGGAAATCCTCGACCTAAAATTTGGGGTTTTAGGACCCACAGTGGGTTCTCAACCACAGCTTGCTGTGGATGAAACCTGAAACTGTGATGTAAAATGTTTGTACGAAAAGTGAATGTGATTTGGAAAGACAACATTATTAATTACAAAACAAATTTCACATTGCTCAGATGGACAGTTGTTGAGATATTTGCATGTGAAATAACAGGAAGTGGTGTCAAAAGGGAATGTTTAAATGTGAATATTTCAAAAATAAATAAATGTTACCAATTATTTTAATTTCTGATAAGAATTACAGTCATCCTACTTACAATGTGTTACATTTTTTAAACTTCTGAAGACTGATTTAAGACCTTTTAAGGCTAATAAAGGCCTTATTTTTGGATTGATGAATTCAAGGCTTTTTAAGACTTTTAAGGATCCGCAGGAACCCTGGAAGGGGAAAAAAGTAAAACATGCAGAGCTGTGGACCTCGAGGACCAGGACTGACTGTCCCTGTTCTAAAGAACCCCCCCACAGTACCTCCGGTCTGTGGCTAAACCGCAGAACCAGTCTGTAGCCTCACCTCGAAGAGCTCGTCTGTTGTGTTGTAGTGGTTGGAGGCCGGCGAGGCGTCCGCGGGATGATCGGCGCACCACTGGAGCTCGCTGAAGCAGTTGACGCTGTCGAAGTCGCTGGTGTCCAGCTGGGATAGGTCGATGTCCGAGAAGTCGGTGTCCAAGCGGTCCGAACACACCTCCTCCTCCCCATACTGGAGACAGGAAACAGAGAGGGACGTCTGTGTTACAACATCAAACTGGAAACAGCCCCCTGTCATCGGGGTCTTTGTAAAAACGTGAACCCAGGAACGAAAGTGAAGCTGCTGATAACAGCGAGATAAATCTGGGCTGAGCTGTGAACGATGAATGTTGCTCTGTGCACTTTTATGTCACAACAAGGGAAATATTCTCTGTGTAGCCATTACGCTCTCCCTCTTTGAGACTTGTGCAGTTTGTGAAGTTCATCAGTCAGCGCCGCAGTGCCATTGTCAGAGTTAAAGGTTTAGTTAGTTCCCCCTGGGCTACCCTTTCTGAAATATGCAGTGGAAGGACTGTGAGGCACTTTGGATGTAAGCCTCCATCATGTGGTGCGTACTGTATATTATTACACAGCTCAGTGTCTGAGTCAGACCAACAGCCCTTCATCTCTCAACAGACACTCATTAGAGATAACGAGACTTCCACATCAGAGGTGCTTCAACACTGAAAGCCGTGCAGGGGTCTGCCCCGTCACCTTRCATCATCAGCCAGAAGATGTGGCCCAAACACAAGCAGTTACTGAGGTGTTCCCCGTGCTTTTATTTTGAAAATCTGCCGGCGACTCTGAGCAAAGTGGTSTTCAGATGATTGATTCTCTCTGCGTTTATCAGTTACTTTGTTACTTTATTTTATCAGCTTGTCTTCTGAAGATGCTCAGTGTTGAAGGATCAGTGGATCTGTGTTCGACTACTCCACCTAGGCTGCATTGTYGAGTAGRGCTGTCACAAACGATTATTTTTATAATCGATTAATCACCGATTATTTATTCGATTAGTGGACTAATCGGATCATACGTTAACTGAATATAAAACATAGAGCTTATCACGTCAGAATGCAGCTGCTATTATATAACCATGGTTAGATTTTAGCTATATGCTAACTAAAAAATAATTGCTGTGGAAGGTAAGTTCTGCTCTGCAGATATTACACAGGTTTCTCTTTCATTTTCTTAAAATGATCCCACACTTTGAGCTCTGTTGTCAGG